ACTATCGCAAGTCTTTTCAGAAATGTGTTTTCTACATGAAGCGGGATGTTTGTATCGCTTCAAAGTTCTTGAGGCGATCGGCCGCTTTCGTGGGCCGCAACACTAAAAGCTGCTCGTCGGAGTGTACGACGGCTGGGATAAATGTTAGCTTGGTCCTCGAGAGATCCGACTTGGAGTCCCATTTCATGAAAGCATACATGGCGCGCAGGCAGGCAAAGCTCGACCGCACCAGCTCCGGGCGGCGCTCGGAGGCCGGGTCCTGGATGATGGACAGCAGGAATTCGAGGCCGCTCTGGTCGTTGGCCACCACCGTCTCGGCAAACCGCTGGTGGAGCGCAAACGGGTCGACCTGCTCGTTCTGGCACAGCACCGTCGCCTCCTCGGCGGTGAGGGCGGCCCACCAGCGGAACGCCGGCAGCAGGACCTTGGTCCTCGACACGGACGACACGCCCTTGATCTGGTTGAGCAGCGCGAGAAGGCTGGACTTGACCCTGAGCAGGGGCGACGCGACGAGGTGGCTCGCGAGGGACGCGAAGATAGACTGCCTCGTCGACTGGGAAAGGGCCTTCTTGTCGTCGGTCTTCTTGGCGCTGCTGTCGAGGCTGGCGTGGAGGAGGGTGCTGATGAAGTCCTCGTGCATGATGCACTCCTCGAGGCTCGGCAGCAGGACGTCGTCGAGCAACTTCGAGACGACTTCGGGCTCCATGGCCTGAGTCTTGATACCGTCCGGGTAGAGGCCGTTGCCTCCCCAGGCCTGCGGCTTCTTGCCCTTAACGGGGGTGGTGGGGGACATGGCCTTGACCTGGATGAGGAGATCAGCAGCGGCGCGACGCACCTTTCTCGACGAGTCGAGGAGGGCCACGAGACAAAAGGGAATGATGGCCTGGAAGTCGGTGTCGGCGGCGTTGCCGGCTTGAAAGCCCTGCTTGACGGCGTCCAGAGCAGCAGCACGAGCCAGCGTGGGGTAGGGGCCGCACCAGATGCGAATGAAAAAGGCGGCGTAGGTGCAATCCGTGGCCGCCTCTTGGCGGTGGAGGGTCGGGAGTTGGGTAAACGTGGTCAGGAGGGCGGGCTCCTCAGTGCTCTGCGCCACAATCTGAAGGAACAGCTGGCTGAACTCGTCGTACACGTCGCCGGGGCTGGCGGAGAGGCACGAGGGCAGAGGAGGAGCGGCCTCCTGCGTGGCGGCGTGGCACTCGAGGGCGGCGTGGAGGTCGAGCTTCGGGGCCTTGGTGGGCCTGGTGCCAGTCATGTCGACGTCCTCTGGTGCCTGCAGCACCTTCTGCTGCCGTATGGAGACGTCGAGCTTCATCTCGAGCGCCTCGACGTCGAGGTCGCCCTCCTGGATGACGCTCTGGATTATGTCGCTCGAGTCGCCCGTGTGGCGGGAGAGGTCGATCAGCGTCGAGCCGAGCTCCTTGCGGACCTGGCCCTCGGGGTCGATCTCGTCGTTGAGGCGGTGGGCTGCGAGGACGAGGGACTTGAAGACGACGGCAATCTGCTTCTCCTGCAGGACCTGGCCGGTGAGGACGGCGCGGATGACGGGCAGGCCGCGGTCGTCGCCCTTTTTGCAGAGGCGCTCGACGAGGGCGATGCAGAGGCCGTTGGTCAGCTTGTCGGCCCTCTGCTGGCGGCCAATGTCGACGAGGACGGCGCCGAGGTCGGGGACCTTCATGAGGGCCTTTGTGACCTTACCGGACATTTGCTTGGCGGAGCGGTGCTGGGCGAGAATGGACAGGCAGACGAGGCCGGGGCGGGCCGTCTCGTGGCTCCAACCGTGGACAATCTGCTCCATAAAGGCGGACAGGACGCCGTCGTCAAAGTGGCCCTTGGCGGCAAAGACGGAGATGGCCATGTAGGTAGCGATCTGCATGCTGGGCACCTTCTTCATGAGCAGGGCCTCGCCAAAGACGGGGCCCAGGCGCTGTAGCAGGGCCTGGTCGTTGTCCTTCTGCACGGCGTGGCGGCCAGAGCGGGCGTTCTCGAGCAGGCCATTGACGGCCTCGGTCATGAGGCCGCCCCAGAAGGAGACGAGGGTGGGGTACTGCTGCTGGTGGCGGCAGGCCTCGAGGGTGTATTCGGACAGGGTCGAGAGGAAGTCGGACTTTTGGATGGCCTCGTGCACAAGGACGGAGCGGGGCGGGCTCGTCAGGGAGCGGATGTAGGGGTGCAGGAAGCGGTATTCGGCGGGTATCTTGGCGGGGAGGATGGACAGTAGGGTGACAAAGGCGGGTATGGAGTGGTAGGGGAGGAAGGTCGTCAGCAGGGCTTTCGTGTTGTCCTCGTGGATCCTCGTTCAGTGTTAGCGGGAGGCTGTGTGAGGTCGGGGAGGGACAGGGTCAAGCAACGCACTGGAAACGCCTGATGAGCCACTCGATGGCCTTGACCGCAGGCATCAGACGTAGGCGGCTGCCGGCGAGGCGCAGGAAGGCCTCAATCTTGGCGTCGAGCTCTGCATTCTCGCCAGCCGTCATCTGGGTCCCTGTCCCTCGCTCTGGCTCTGCTCGCTGAAGAGGGTCAGGGCAAAGGGGGCGGGAAGCGCGGGTCGAGCTGGCACAGCTCCTCGAAGCCCTCGAGGCATATTGTGTAGAGAGCCTGGAAGCTCTGGGTGGCGGCGACGCGGGGCTCGAAGATGAGAGACTTGGAGTGGGATGCCTTTTGCGCCTTGACGTTGAGGGACGACTTGGAACTGGCGGCGATTTGCGCGAGCTGCGCGGCTAGGGAGGTCGCCATTTTCTCAGGGCGTGCAGATTTGGGAGGAGGTCATCCGTGGTGTGCGTAATGCCGTATGTGTGTGTGAGTGTATGTATGTGTTGTGGCGGGGATCTTGGTTGCCGACGTCGTTGGCCACTGTCGAGGCTGCCGTGTCGGTTTTTTTTCTTTCGAACCAGCCTTGAGACGATCCAATTGCTGGCGTAGTCGTACCTGCTCTGGGCTTGTCTGGATTTTTTTTCTGGACGGGCCATTCGTTTTGCCGCGAAAGGAAGCGATAAGGGGTTACAGCCAATGGAGGGGACTGTTGATAAGGACGATCCACCCACAGCCGCTAAAGGGCCACTGCGGGGCATCCAGCAGCGACGGTGGTGGTTGCCGCGATGGCTGGTGGCTACCAGCACCGGCGGGTGTACTGTAGCATGTACCAACGCGGCTCGAGGCACTTCCCTTGAATCCTAGCTTGGGG